GTAAAGCTATAATTCAAAGAACAGGTGGCGTGATGCTAATAAACAGCACAGGAGGTCAAAACATAATCACACTCACTGGAAAAGGAAGATCACAGGATCAGCGTTTACTTTGTTCCTGTAATTTCTTTGTGCTTTTTGGACACCAGAGAATGTGTGAGTGAATTATGATCTAATCTGATTTAAGCATAATGTCCCACTAGAAAATAGCAGACATACCAGAAGATTTTCTTGAAGTTTGAATTTGAGCTGAAGTGTTATCAATTACTGTTCACATTTGTGGTGGGTTTCAAAACAGCTGGTTGAGTCACAAAAATATAAGGAAAGGCCTTTTGAATGCTTCCTACACTGAATACATCTGCACCGTAAATCCTGTAAAACAATTGTAACCATGTGTAGATTTATCCTGATGCCCTGTTGAGAGTGATCTGAGCTGCAAGCAGCTCCAATAGAGTCTCATTAGGGTGATGATAATTATAATGATAATCTTACTTAATGCAAGTATAACATGCAGCAAAACCTGTTATGGCAGCAGTGGAGATATTTTTATTTAAGAATCTATTCGTGAGACTAAATTTCAAAGATAAATTATCAAGTCAAGCAGTTTGGAACAGACAGGCCAGACATGAACAGAACACAGAAAACCAAAGACTGAGGGGAGACATATCAGGACATTTTCTCCATCACCCACGGGTGGATCTTATTTACCTGATTATCTGAGCGAAATGACTGAGGCTTTCAAGGAAAAGGGTAAATACGGTAAATATGCACACATCACTTCTTCAGTATTATTTTAGAATTATTTTACACCCCCCCCCACCCCACAACTATGGTAATTTGAAGTATCATTGTAGAATTAGTACTTTGTCGGTTGTAAGTGGTGGTCTATGTCGTGGGCTTGTAATCCTGAGGCTGCAGATTTGAACCCAAGTTACATGAGACGAGTATAAAACATTTGCCAAATATTTTATGCGAGTTTACTTGCTGTGGTGACCCCCAGAGTAGGAAGCCAAAAGAAAAACATCTTGTCAAATTATTTTATTTAAAATTAGAAATCCAATCCAGAAAACTGTGTACCTCCTTGTCTGTGTAGTTTTATGCAGTTAACATAAAAAATAATAAACTCTCATTTTGGGTGGAGGTAGATATGGGTGCAACCTGACCCTAACCCTAACCGTTCTTCTGTTTTAAGTTTTAGACCATTGTTTTAATGAGACAACCTTGGTCAAGCTGAAGAGAGAAAAAGTTGACTATTTTGTGCACAAAATATAACAAAAAATACTATGCAACATTTAACTACAGAAATTGTAAAGGAAAATGTAAATTTTGTGTGGCTATTGATAAAGGAAACAAATGTCAGCTCTACTAATTAAATTTAAGAGATGCTTCTGATATTGAGATTACAGAAACAAAACTAAACTGATTTTAATATTTATCTGATAGATGTTTATGTTATAAGGAAATCATACATTAAAGTTAGCCATGGAGCTCCTCAGGGTTTAGTGCTTGGACCAATGTTGTTTTTTTTTTGCAC